TCCCCTCCGTCATCAGCTTCCTCCTCCTCCACTGTCTACCCTCTTCTCCGAGCCCCCTTCCCATCGACTTACTCCTGTAAGGCTCCAATCCCTCCCCTTTGTTTACTTTAAAAACATGAGCAATAGCTAATAACAAGAATTCAACAAATACAGTCTATTTTAAAGAGAAAAACACTTAGAAATAAAAAAAAATCACATCTTTGAAGTATGTCTCTACACTTCTAAAAACTTTAATTAGGAGTAATTTTTTTTTTTTTACATAGAATGAGAATTCAACTCAAACTCACAAAATAAAAGAAAAAACCCACATAATATAAAACCTGACATAATTAGATCCACCAAAACACTTTTAAATGAAGAAATTACAAGTCTTTATTATAACTCAAGAACATCAAACTGCATAATATTTGTTTAAACTCAAAGATGGAATCCAGAAATGGCATGGCTTGAAGATCTTAGCTTCTGGGTTTAACTCAAACTGCTCTATTTTCTATGCAGAAGGTAAGGGCTTCCATGGCTGCTACCAACAACTGGGTTTTGAGAAGAAAAAAAAAGAGAGAAAAGAGACGGGCTTCAATGGTGAAGGTATGGTGGTTCTTGGCAGGTGGGTGTTGGTTAGGATGGTGGAGAAATTGTGGAGAAACGACGGTGGAAGGTGAGTGTTGGATTTGGCGGAGGATAGCTAGTGAATTAGTTTAGGAAAATGAAAAAAAAAATAAAGAAAGAAAATAATTTTTTTTACTGTTCACGCGCCTTATTTTATTGGTAAAACACGCACTAGCCATGTTGACAAAAAAGGTGTGTATTAGACACACTTTGAAAAGGTTGGGTGTGTAAAAAGTTGTCCGTGCTCAGAAGGTGTGTCACAGGGATTTGGTCCTAAGTTCCGAGGGCAAACTATGTATTTTGCCAAAAAAAAAATAGCATCACTATTTCAGTTTTAATTTTTATTTTTATCTTTATTTTTATTTTTGAAGCTGCAACGTTTCTTTTCCACTTGCACATCCATAAATCTCAAATTTCTTAGAATATCGAAAAGTATAAATCATAGTACCAATTTCTTGTTGGCATGTTACCTCTTCTTCACTTGACATTTAAATAATATTACAATTACTGGTCTTTCTTCAGCATTAAACAATTATTCTTAATTAATATGAGAAATTCAAAACCATTTACTAAACACGAAAGAAACAAAAACACCCCAATCAAAACTTTTTGCCACAAAACATAGAGGTAAGCAGATGAAGTGTTTATTGGATAGGGTTTATGATCCTTTAAGTACAAGAGCTTAAAAATAGTATTTTACCTTAGTTGAGATCTTCAGTACTGAAGTTGTTCCTGATTATTACATCTTGGATTGCTGAAATCAAAAAACAAATGAAGATAGATGTGTGCAAAGCAGACTCAAAGGGAAAACCCGCAAAGAAGAACGAAGAACATGGAAAGAATAGAGAGGAAGTAGCAAGGAACAACACAATCACTAGAACTCACCGACAATGTTTAAGTCGGAGCAAAGTGAGAAAAAAGGCGATGGAACCAAAGAAAATAGAAAAAACATATCTTAACTGATAATCACAAACACATGTTTCGTACCCACCAATCGATATATCTGAAAATCCCTCAAAATCCCTCTCAAATCCGAGCTCCCAAGCTTAAGTTCTGATAAAAATGGCTAAACCCTCGATTTTTAAATCTTATATCTGCCCAGGTGCGTTCTTCTTCGCAAACGCGAGGCTACTATCGCGAACGCGATGAACAAAAGTCCTGCTGGCCAATTTCCTCTTTCGCAACCGCGAGGTCCACTCGCAAACGAGTAGCTTACACTAGCAGACCCTAGGCGAACGCGAGGACCATGTCGCGAACGCGAGGACCAACCAACGGGTCCTTACATTCGCGAACCGGGACATCCACTATTCATAAAAATAGTCATTTGACATAACTTACTATCAACAGTAGACTATTTGTAACCAAATTGAAGATATCCATTTTTTGTTAAAGTAGTGTCAGATTAGGTAGCTAGCCAGGATACATATAATTGGGTTTCAATTAATGTAAATATAAATATATTAATAATTTACCCGCATTCGGTAAGTGATTAAAGTTATATTGCAATAACTGGTTTGGTGCCTCAATACGTATATTTCCTTATTACCAAAAAAAGAAGTATTTTTCTTAGTAAATTTAAAGATAATCTGACAGTTTTTGCTTTGTGTTCCTAAAAGACAAAAGTTTATTTCACTCAAACATCTTCTCTTATACTTAAAAGACAAATCATCCGTCCATTGAGTTGTTGACTCCACTACCGACCTTGTGTTATGGTAGGCAAAGTGAAAGTGTTACATTTTTTTCAAATAATGTTTTAACCACCCTTCTATCAACCAAAATAGAAAATAAACAAAATAAGTGGTCCAGAAAGTCATATTTATGTTCCATAATACACTTTTCTATTTAGTCTGCTAGGTTGTGATGGCATGTGCCAGCACAGGCCCAATATTATAAAAGTTGAAAATACTATTTTTTTATTAGCTTGGTATATATATATATATATAGGAGTACTATTTACATATTGGCAAAAAGTGATGCATTATTCGTGTCAATCTTTGACCAAAAATACCACCTGCAAAATCGTGAAGTAATGATTAAATGTTAGTGTCCATATGTTAGATTGAGCGCAAACTTGTCTCAGTGATATAGTTCTTGTCTTACATAATAAGAAAAACATTAGATGTCTTAAATGGGACAATTTAAATTTTTTATAATGGAACTACATTAGCTTTTGCAGATTTTATTTGTAATTTACATACCTTTTCAAACATTGTCTATCTTTGTTTACTAATGAGCATAATATACCATAAATTCTAATGTTCTTTTGAATCTTCAGAGAAAAAGAAACAAAGAAAAGAAAGCGAGCTTAGATAAATGCACCGGAGAGAGATTTTATTTCCTTCATGTCAACAGAAAGCACATGCAAGTAAGTGTATAAGAAAGGTGTTACTCTGTAAACATTTGAAACGGGGGTGTTTTTAATCTCCAAAGTTGTGAATAGAAATACAAAATAATACACATATGGTCTTCTGATGTTCCATAAGAACTTTAAAACAAATTTAAGCATCTACCACCAAATACGATAAAGAATCAATGTAAACTAATAGATTTTGGAGATATTGGTATCTGCAGATTTTGCTAAGTTACACCTTGGTATTTCTGCACCTTCAGTAGCAGTTACATAACTAAGACAACAAATGAAATATGAAAAGACAAATTACCTTGAGATATGGCGTAAATTGCAATAGATAAGGAATTCAGAATGGAGAGACCTTCGTTTTCATGAGTGTCAAGTTTTTAGTGATTCTCGGAGAGCAAAACCAAGAGCTTCAATTTGAAGTGGTGACAGCTTGTCGATCAAGCTCAAACGTCAGAAAAACAGCCTTTCAGTTGACGTACAAACTGCAAGAGATACCCACAATTTATATCAGCTTATGGAGAAGCCTTGAGCTTTTAAAAAGTAGCATCACAAATGATTCTTTTTCCTTCACTATTGAGGCAGAAACAAAGACCAAAAATAACATATATGAGCAATTAATACATGCCAAAAAATTAAAAGGTATAATAACTTATCATATATCATTTTCTAGGCTTTAGGTTTTTTCATTAAGCTGCTCAATTATTTCAGTGTTAAAAAGGAACAAAAATAGAGATTAAAATGAACCATGTTGAATTGAATACTATAATTGAAGAAGTTGTAGGATCCGAACATAATATTCGTTTGTCTTTACACAAAGTGATCTGCAACACAAATATTTATAACCTAGCCCAATAGTTTAAGATGAGAATGTAAATATGGAAGCAAGTGAGAAAGAAGTAGACACTATTTATATTCCTTTTTGTCTCCTTTTAACCAACTTCATCATTATTTGAGCAAAGTTGTGAATGAGTCTGCTGTTGTTTCTTTTCAATAGTCTGTGAATCTTGCATATGTTATGCCATTCAACAACATTAATCTATTTCTTATCAGTTTCAATCTCCATTTCCTTAGATTTATACAACAAGAACATTTAAAATCTTTAGGAGATATACTACAGAATTGTTCCTTTTACATGTTAGTGGCTTTAATTTTTTTCCTGTAGATGCAAAAACTCCAGTAAATTCAAGGAAATTTATTCATAATGTTCACAGTTCATAGACCAAAAGGTCTTACACACAGCACAAAACAGTCCAAAAAACATCATAAGCACTACTATAAAACAGTATTTCTAACCTCTCCGAGGTCCAAATTAATACCCATAGAACCAAACTTAATTTGTCTATATTTCCCCTATTTTAAGCAAGCTTGACATTAATGGTCTTAGGTTTCTTAGGCTCGGGCGGTGGCAATTTCAAAACAGTGAAATTTCTCAACTCTCCTCGCCATTCTCAAATACTTTACCCCTTCTTTCTCATCGGCAATTTCTCAAATACCTCTAATGCAAGTCTGGATGTAGTGTCTAAATCATAAACTTAAATTCATTCTTATTGCACTTTAAAAGAGTTGAAACATATGAAAATTAAGATTAAATCACGAGAAGCGCGAAGCGAAACGAAGCACGAAAAATAGAGGCGTAACATATCACCAATTGAAAGCAAGCTAATCTTCCATGGAAGATTCAAAACATCATAAGGAGACATTCTTCACAGTAGAAACCAACACAATCTTAAATCTAGATAACACTGATATTCAGAAAAGGTTGGATAAACGAAGAAAAAAGTCATTTTGGTCAGCCAAAGTCAACCGGGTCTAAAAGCTTCTTAATTACCCCAACCAGGCATGGTACCAAACCAGTAAAGACATTCCAAAATTTCATATAGAAAATATGTTTGTATTCCTCATTTAAAAAAGATATGCACATAAATAAATACAGATCCTTTTCCAAAACAACCAATCGTTGTTCCAACCTCACCCCCAAAAATAGTTTGGATAGTTAAAGGAAAAAGCCAGACAAAACAGAACTGACCGTATAATTGTACGTAAATTGAGCAGTGCAACAGAGAAGACTGCAATTAACGAAAAACGGAGGAGAAGTTGAGACAATATTAGAATATGAAAAAAGAAACTGTAGAGGCAGGTCGTTGAGTTTGATCTAACTGAGAGAATTTGTGAGGAATGCTAGATAAAGACGTTGAAGACAAAGTCCAATAGTCAGCATGCTTAGAGTTTAAAAATACAGTTTTACCACTCGATTTAACACACACTTGCCATAAGATTGCAAAGTTAAAAATTAGAAAACCTAAAAGAAGATAGAGCAGAAATTAAAAGAAGAAAAAAGGATCTGAGAAAAATCATAGCAAAACATGGGAAAAGAACCTACAACAATCACTGAACTTCAGAATCGAAACTAACAATGATGAAGAGAACCTAGAAGAAACCCAAAATACAAAGGAAAAAGTAGAAAAAAGATATGTACAAAATTGATTGAAAGCATACCTCTAGCTAGATTTGCGCGTGAAGAGAATCAGGAAGAAGATATCACTCAAAATCTGAATTGAAGAAAACCTAATACTCTGTTATTTGCTAAAAATACACATGGAGCCATTTTATAAGTTACACGTAGAGTTTGTACACAGAAATCTAGCCACGTATATGATATTTTGAGAATTGATGCGAAATGACTAATATATCCTCGAGCTTTTTAAAAATGACATGAAACACACACGTCGAAATTCTTTCTCTTCTATAATATAGAAATCTCAAAAAAAAAAAAAATTATATTTAAAAATAACTTAAGTTTAAACGTCCTATTTAATTTTATTAAAATAATATATAATCACTTAAATATGTACAATTTATTTTGGATCATAAATTCTTTTTCCAATCCCAAATTTTATTTTCCAACAATGCCCCTGGTATATGACCTTCAGTTGTCACACAAAAACTGGTACACGAGCTTGAGAGCAAACTATTAAATTTTCCACTTTCCAGCAGAACCACATTCTCCAATTCCTCTTCTTAAAACCAAATATAATCGATTTGTCTTGGACCCCAAAATACCGATTCAGATTTTTCCTCATAATTGTCGAATGGCTACTTCAATTCAAAATTTAGCACCACCATTTTCTTGCCGGCGTTTGAGCAATACGTCGTCGTTTCCATCCCTTTCTTCTCCTATCGCCATTTTCCGACGCAGAAATGCAAGAAACAAGTTAAAGGGGATATGTAGAGCAATGATAGAGCAGACAGTACAAGGAGGAGGGGCTGCTTCTGCTTTTGCTAAAGAAATGGAACGACTTTCTGCTAAAGAGTCTCTTCTTCTTGCTGTCAGTAGTCATTCTTCCCCCTTTTTTAGCACCATTTTAGATTTATTTTGTGATTTAGTCCTGCAATATTCGTTCTCCTAACGCTTGAAGTTCCAATTTTGTTACTCCCTCTGTTTCAATTTATGTGAAACGATTTGACACTAAGTTAAAGTAAAAAAATAATATTTTGAACTTATAGTCATAAACATGTCATAATATTTGTGTGACTATAAAAACTTCTTTAACTTAGGGTAAAGAAAAAGCTTAAGTTAAATTGTTTTGAAATTTAGAAAAGAATGGTTCTTTCTGGAGCACGCCAGAAAAGTTATAGGATCACATAAACTGGAATAGAGGAAGTATCTTTTTTCCATATGAATACAATTGTATATATTTGGTCATTAAGTGTAAGAAGAAAAGGGTGCCTATAAAAATATATATATGGAGAAATGGATATCACTGTAAGATGAAGGATTGTTTGTATGTATCTATATTTTAGAAGTTTCAATCTTGTCCTTAGTTTTAATGGGAAAAGTAATTCTTTGATGTTATAGTGCTTTTTTTATGTGTGAGAAGACAATATCATATAGAGATGGATGATTGTTTTTTACTAAATGAGGTCGTTTGGTATGAAGGAAGATGTCTTCTGTTGAAAATCCTTTTTATAAGAATCTTTTTTGGGAAATTGGTTTTTGGTTCATTTTTAGTGTTAGGTTGGGAGTAGAAGTTGGTGTCATATATTAATCGCAAGGTATAGGATAACGTATGAGTACAAAAATTTTGGTATGGCCGGGAGGTTTGAAGAACAATATTATTGATTATACTGCACTGTTTATTTTTAAAGAATTGCTCTTCTATGCTTTTTATTTGCCCCTTAAGCAGTAAAAAACAAATTTATTATTCTATGATAGTTCAAGGATGCTGGTGGGTTTGAGGCATTGGTCACTGGGAAGATAACAGATGTACAACGCATTGATGTGAATGAGAGGATCATTGGTCTCGAGAGGCTCAATCCGACACCTCGTCCCACAACGTAAGGTGTTAAATCTTACTGACAAACTTAACTTTCAAGCATCTTGACAAGTTATTCATTGGTGGTTTCATTACTCAGGTCTAACAATTTGGAAGGCCTGTGGAATTTTGAGTGGTTTGGAGCTGGTAGCCCAGTACTCATTGTTGCCAAATTTTTGTTTGGGTAAGTTCTATTTTTTGGGACATCGTTCTCTCCTTTTCCCGCTGTTCGAACTTAAATCAACTCTTTAGTTTATGAACCAAGACGTAGATATGCTTGCTATCTTCCCAATTGCTGAAAACTGTGAAAGGGAAACCTAGACTTCTCTAAAAGTATCTATGATCCCGTGCATGCAATAAAATATAAGAGATGATACATTATATTGTTAAAAAATCCCATGCGACAACCCCAAAGAAACTATATAGTGCCAGAGCTCCCTGATCATGTTTGCGCATATTGTTCCAGTAAGGTACTTGCCCCCTCAAGTTCTCTATGAATGCTGCAAAGCCACTGATCAAGTCAATGAGCTAATCAAACAGAACTTAGCTTCTAAGGAGAAAGTTGATGAGCTTCCTTGTAGAGCCATTGTTTTCCATTCGTTCTAAGAAACCATATTTAAACAAATGCTTGACTTTGAGCAAATGTTGCTATGAAGCTCCTGCCACGATCATTGATCTCTGTTCTTGCTAATACTACAATTTGACAAATCCATCAAAAAGGTGTTACAAGACTAATTGTTGCTGAAAAAATGTATAAGTTGGATACAAAGGCGGGTCTAGGATTTCAAGAATATGGGTACACTATTATGAATAGGTGGATTTGTAGATTTTGAGAAGAAGAAAAGGCTTCTTGTAGTTCTGTATATTTCTTACATCCCTAAGCAAAGATATTTATACACTAGGTCCTATGACTACTTTAGGAGGGAAAATAAATTACAATCAATTTACAATCAATTTACAATCAATCAGAATAAAAATCAAATCTCAATCAGAATCAAATCTTTCTCTATCAGAATCAAATCTTTCCTAATAACTAAGCTAATCAACACTCCCCCTCTAGTTGGTGCAAAAAATGTCGCCCATGCCTCACTTGCAAACCAGTGTATGAAAAGTCCGTTTGTTGAGTCCCTTGGTAAACACATCAGTTAACTATTTTTCCGATGGCACATGAAATAAACTCAAGACACCAGTTGTAATTTTTTCTTTGATGAAGTGTCGATCAATTTCCACATGCTTTCTTCTGTCATGCTGGACTGGATTATAAGTTATACTGATGGCAGCCTTATTGTCAAAGTACAAGGAAAGTTTTCCTGTTTCATACAATCTCAATTCGTCTAGTAGCTTTTGTAGCCAAAGCAGTTCGCAAACACCCTGGGCCATAACTCTATATTCTGCCTCTGCACTTGATCTAGCAACTACATTTTGCTTCTTGCTTCTCTAAGTAACCAAGTTTCCTCCTACGAGCGTACAGTAACCGGATGTAGATCTTCTGTCATCCAGAAATCCAGGGTGATCATGTTTGGGGAAAAAGTAGACCTTTCGCTAGAGTAGACTTCAGATACTGCAAAATATGAAAGACAACTCGCATATGAGGATCTCGAGGATCATGCATGAACTGACTTACCAGGCTAACTGAATAGGCTATGTCTGGTCTAATGTGGGAGAGATAAATGAGTCTTCCAACTAACCTCTGATATCTCTCCTTATTAACTGACTCTCCAACTCCGCTTTGTAACTTGTGATTGCTTTTAACAGGCGATTCTGCGGGTCTGCATCCTGTCATACTAGTTTCTTTCAAGAGATCCAAAATATACTTCCTTTGAGAAATAAAGATTCCTCTTTTTCATCTAGCAACCTCAATTCCCAAAAAGTTGTGCAATTTTCCTAGATCCTTGATCTCAAATTCATGTGCCAACAATTTATTCAATCGGGCCATCTCCTCTTTGTCATCTCCTGTCATTACTATGCCATCAACATAAACTATGAGAAGAGTGAGTTTACACGTATGATGTCTATGAAGAGGGTGTGATCAGCATTGCTTTGTTGGTAACCAAAGGAGATCATTGCTTTGCAGAATTTGTCAAACCAAGCTCTGGGGGATTGCTTCAGTCCGTACAAGGCTTTCTTCAATCTGCATACCTTTCCTTGACTTTGAGCAGTATCAAATCCAAGAGGAATCTCCATATACACCTCTTCTTAAGTCTCCATGAAGAAATGCATTCTTCACATCAAACTGTTGCAAGTCCCAATTAAGATTAGCTGCACAAGACAAAATAATTCTAATAGTGTTCTTCTTAGCAACATGGGCAAATGTCTCTTGATAATCTACTCCATAAGTCTGAGTTAATACCTTAGCCACTAATCTTGCTTTGAATCTTTCGATCGAGCCATCAGCTTTGTGCTTCACAGTGAAGACCCATTTGTTGCCAACCAACTTCTTGTCGGGTGATGAAGTGACAAGTTCCCAAGTCTCATTTTTTGACAAGGCCTTCGTTTCTTCAATCATAGGCGCTTCCATTTAGGATCTGCAAAAGCTTCCCTCCAATTCCAAGGAATAGATACAGAAGAAATGGACAAGGCAAAAGCTCTATAGGAGGGAGACAAAGAATTATAGGAGACAAAATTAGATAAAAGGTATTTGATGGTGCAAGATCTGACTCCTTTTCTGTGAGCAATAGGTTCATCTAACTCATTAGGAAATGTAGATAACTCACCAATAGAAGATTGTTCAGTTTCAGTAGATTGCATGATGGCTTTTTCTGCTCTATTTTTCCTTGAGTAAGTTTCCAAATCTAGCATATCCAAACGCCCAATAGTCTCCCCCATAAATTCTTTCTCCAATTTCACTTTCCCCTATGACAATGTCATCAAGAGGTCCAGTAATGGAACTAGATAGAATCACCTCTTCCTCGTTACTGCTCTCCCCCTGAAGAGGTAATGAGATAATACTGAAGTATGGATCAGATTCTCAAAAAATAACATTCATGCCAACAAAAGATCTCCTAGAGGGAGGATGATAACATTTGTAACCTTTATGTGTTGGAGAATACCCAATGAAAATACACTTTATAGCTCTAAGATCAAGTTTCTTAGAATTTCTAGTGTGGACAAAGCAAATACACCCAAAGACCTTAGGAGGATTAGTTTATTCATTTTTACCCTTTAAAGCTTCTAGAGGACTTTGAAAATTGAGGGTTTTAAGTGGCATTCTGTTGATAAGATAGGCAACCATTAGAATAGCATCCCCTGATAAGGTTTTGGTAGATGCATGGTGAACATAAGAGATCTTGCTACCTC